AAATGTGTTCCGAGTGATTGTAGAGGAGGACGAAAGAACTGGAGATGGGGAAGGGGGGGGGGGAATGGGAGGTGGTGAATATTCCATAAACCATTATCATTATGATCGTGATGGTATTTAAATGAAAGCGATGCATTGACTCACTTCAATTAATCATATTAATCAGCTTTATTTATCATGGTTCGCCGAGTGCGTTTTGGATGCTCAACCAATGTGGTCACAAAAAATTTGTTTATTTGTATTGCTCTGACGCAAACTTGTATGAATTATTGCGTTTTATTTATTTGTGTCATTCAATTTGCATTTGTGTATGTTGTACAATTTGTTTTTATGTGTAGGATGTAATGATGATTAGTTGATTAATACCTGAATATCTGATAAAAGAATTCTACTCAATACAAAATCGCCGAACCGATCTTCAGAACATTCACTTTGCACACATTCGATAACTTTAGTGATAATTTTCTCAGTGATAAATACGTTAGTGATAACTTTTGCCCTTCAAACTTCTCATGTTATAGTTATAAGACAGATATTTCGGATCATTTGATGAGCATCTAGACATCGTACTCCAATCCATTAATTGTTGTTGCAAGAAATTTGGTCAAGAGTTGTAGTTTGAGGACAAGCTGCTGTCGTTTCTGCGACGTCAGTTTGTGCAAATAACACTCATCAGTATAATTTTCACTTTGAATTCCCTCATTCATCTCTCATGTAACGTCCAACAGATCAAAAAAGCACATTTGATGACATCCCTTTAACAAGATCCATAAGTAAGTCCAAACCTTTTGCATTGGTTTGCAAAATCCCAAATAAACTCATTGAATGAATTCTGTGCAGTTGAGTGAAGTTAATTACTTCCTCTTGGCTTCCCAATCATACAAACGACTATATTTTGCACTTAGTCAACGTGCTCAATTTGCAAAGATTATCACGATTACCAGTCTCTAATTGAAATGGATCACCTCGTTCTCATGGACTATCAGCGAATGAAAAGGTTCTATTTTAGGTTTTATTCAGCTGAGAATTCAAAGGAGCGTCTGAAATTAGCTCGTCTCATTCAAGCTACAAAGTTTTTTCCCCGTTCAACCAAATTAATTGCTATTCCGACCTCACAACCTGCATGCAACAATCCATAATACATTGAAATTCATCACCCATGTGGATGATAATATTGCCATGTCGATTACTCATTATACTACATACAATAAATTACCTTATGAAAGAATTGGTTGCCTGTCACATATCTACCCATTGATCGAAGAAGAACGTCCAGACTGTCGATTCAAGTAATCAAATCATCTAAACTTCATAACTACTTTCATTGTTGCACAGATTCTCCGTTTCGCAAATTAATAAAAAATGGAAATTGTTCACATAACGGTAAACGAAACTTCAATTCACAACTTAGTCACATAATTAACTTTAATTCACATCTCCGCTTCATGGCAGTAATTAAATGGCATGCCATGATTTGGTTGGTTATAATGAGCCATGCTGTTTGAGCCATGTTTTATCGTTGATGTGAATTTTAGTTGATGTTCATGTGAATTCTAATTGTATTCATACGAAAACTTCATGTGAATTTCATTATACTAATAGTAAGTGAATTTCAGTTTCGGCAATCATTATGTTAACAAGTTGTTTGCAAAGTAACATCTCCGAAGTAATGCGCGTGTGTGTGCGTCATTATTTCCGCTCACATTCGAAAGTTCTACTGGAAACCGAACGATGTGCTGATTTCATTATTGCCACCAGTATACTTCTTTTTTAGGTGGTCCTCTATTGGGGCGACGATTGAGTCTCTGTAGCACTGAAGTGTCGTTTTTTTTTCGCGACTGTTACGAGTTACGACTTGATACGATAGTTCTGGCTCTCAAAGATAGTCATTCTAAGTTTATGAAACGTGCTCAGCGTTGTGACTGATTCATTCGCCTTGATACAGTGGCTGATAGTGGTCACATGAGCAGTGAATCGAGCGACATTCGAAAGCAGTCTGTGAATTGTGCAAGGTCCTACAGCCTCATGTGCTCGCTTTTTGTTTTGTCGATCTATGCTTACGGATGCAAGTTTTCAGGTGATTTCATTGGCAGAAATAACGTTTCTGAAACTTTCATTAAAGCCAGAGCTCTCAATTGAGCAACGAAGCACAGCGTTCAATTGATATCAGCGTCATTGCCTCAGTTCAAAACATTTGAACTATAAGCTAGAGAATTTGTTTCTATATCTTCTCATTTTAACGAATTGAAAAACCTGTGACAATATCCCAAATTACAAACATCTACTAAAGATATTCACATCTCCATCGTGGGAGATGTTTTGTTTATTGGTGATCATTGGAATCCATTGTTAGAAGTCGGATATGATCGACTGAAACTAAATTATCACTTTGGAAGCATTGATTTATGGGTTGCTTATCCATAAACTGAATAACTTGTGGGTTCAGCTGAGATTCAATTGACAGCACAACGGCTTGAGAATGAAGACTGAGTTCATCTGCAATGTATATTCCTCTTGTTTATGCATCTGAACTTCGTCCCAAAACCGAATAAAAATTGACAAATAGAAAAGGCTCAAGGCCATCATGTCGAGTCACTACAGACACCAGTTCGTTTCAGAGTAACGCACCGATCCAGA